CCTCCGCGGCGTTCCCAGGCGGTGCAGACGTTAACTCATGCCTGCCCGCAGGGAAGGAGGCGACCGGCCTCCGCCCCTCTCCCGGGGAGGCCGGGCGGCTGGCGGGCGGCCCAGGGAGAAGCGGGGAACGCGGGCCCGAGTCGCTCCCGTCCTCCGCCGACCCAGGCCGGGCCGCAGCTCCCCGCGGGACTCTTCTGCGCCGAGGGTGGCGTTCGCAGCCCGGCTCTCAGCGCTGGCGCCCGGGCTGGGCGGCCGCTCCCCGGAACACCTGGGGCCCGGGAGGCGGCCGAGTCGGCCTCACCGTGGGCGGAGGGGCCCCGCGCGGGCCGGGGGGAGGCCACGTCGGCCCGCGGGCCGGGCGGGGGCCGGCGCTCGTGGGGAGCCAGGCCCGACCTGGGATGAGTCAGAAATCACCTTGTTTAATTACACATTCCCGAGGCCGCCGAGTGCGATAGGGGCCTTTTGAACTTGCCAATTAGAGATGAAATACCACCTTCTAATTTAGACGGGCTTAATTCCGTCAAGCAGAAATAGCAACGGCCCCGGGCTCGGAGATGGGATATCAAGTCTCCCTTCTGGCACGTCTGGGGTGGCGCGGCCAGAGCCGGGAGGAAGGGCGCAGAGGCAAGGGGACTGGGAAGCAGCCGCTCCTCGCGCTCCCACCCTCACCCCACTAGAGTGGGGGCAAGCGATGCGGAGGGGGGAGCTGCCGGTCTGCGCCTCAGGGAACCGAAGGCCCCTAGGGCAGCCCACCGGACTCCGGATTCCGGCATGCCTCTGACCTGCCGAGACTTTCGCGGGGGCTTAGAAGGGGGGGCTGGATCAGGGAGTCTGGAAGGCCTTCCGGAGGAGGGAAGAGAACGTCTGCCAGGCAGAGGGAATCGGGTTTGTGTTGCTGGAGGGAAGCAGGAAAAGCGGGCAAGGGCCCGAGTTGGAAGGGGCATGCTAAAGCCTGTTTTGCTGCGTAGGGAGTGGTTAAGCAGGGGATCTGGAGTTGAGTCCCACTGCCCGAGCTCCCCAACTTTCCAGTAGTCACTTAGGCTCACCAAGCTTCAGTTCTCCAACTGTAAAGTGGACTAGAAAATATTCTCTGCCTCACTGGATTGCAGTGAGTATTACATGCAATAATACACGTAAAGGGCCTTGCCTGTGGATAACACAGCCGGCCAGTCCTAGGTAGCCACTGAGCTGATGAGGGCAGCACTGTCCAGTAAAAATAAATGTTCTAGTTAACCACATTTTTTAAGGAAAAGGAAGCAGGTGAGATTAATGTTACCATATTTTATTTGACTCAGTATATTCAAAGCATCGTTTCAATATATAGTCAATATAAAATAATTAGTGAGATATTTATATTATTTTCTTGTGCTAAGCCCTGGAACCTAGTGTGTATTTTACACTGATAGCACTTCTCAATTTCGATTAGCCACATTTCAAGGGCTCACTGGCCACCTAGGGCTGCGCACTGGCACAGGATTGGGGCTTTGTTCGTAATCCCTTTCAGCAGAGAGCCCCCACTTTACAAAAAAAAAAGGGTGGGGGACAAAATCTTGCTTAGAACCCCATTATATATAATAGAGAGGGATGAAGCTGCTCTGAAGTTCTGCTAGATCACCTCTCCCCACACCCTCTCCCTGGTGGCGTTCCCCTCATTACCCCTGCCCCAGCACTTTGAGACCCCCTGCTCTGGGCACTTGGCTGCTATGCAAGGTTGTTAGGAAGGGTGGCAACACTTGGAATCTGGGCTTCACAAATTTGCACAGTGCATGCATCATGTCACCCCAGTAGGTCCCCACCACTCTCTTTGAGGCAGGCAGGGGCATCATACTTTCTACCACTGGTGATAGACTTAGTCCCAGGTTATCTGATTTCAGGGTGTCACATCTCCCCTCCCCACCCCCAACATCCCACAGTCTCCCTGGACGGGTTCCCTCAGGTGACCATCAGGCAGTAAGATGAGCTGACAGTTCACCCAGACCCTGAGACCCAGAAGTCACCATGCTCACTAACGTGAAATGATGCATACACTGTGCCAGGCCCTAGGATAAGCACTTTATATTTCTTGTCTCCTTGAAACCTCATAACCAACCTGTGAGGCACTAAGAATTATTAATGCCATCTTTAAAAAGGACATTCAGGCCCAGAGACGTTAAGGAACTTGCCCAGGGACACACAGCCAGGATGTAGTAGCGCTGGGACCTGAACCCAGGGCTCCTGATGGCTGTGCTACATGCCAGAGCATGGGACCTCCTCCAAGTTGATAGTTATTCCTCAATGACATGGTGTGCCAAGATTTTCTGGAAATTAGACTTATATTCTTTACAGAGGCACCTTGGGGTAATAGAATAGTTTTGGAGACTCACTCTGCCACTTACTGGCTCTGTCTGAGCCTCAGTGACCTCAACTGTAAAGGGGACTAAACCAGATGACTTGTTATGTGCCAAGCCTACTCCCTTAGTAAGTGGGAAGAAGATTGATTCCTTATGGAGAGAGTTTTACTTTTAGAAGCCAGCATCACTCCCAACATGGCTCCAAGACAGGGCCATGGCGGGTTTTACCCCTTCAACTTTTGATAACACAGGCCTGGTCCCTACCCACCCACAGTACTGGGATTCCTGTGTTACCCAGCTCTGAAGGGCCAGTCATCTGGGAGTAGAACAATACGATTGGAACGGCAGGCCACAGGCCACCCAAGGTGGTCCAGGAGAACCAGGTGGGAGAGATCAGAGGCCAGGTGGGGAACTTTAGCCCTGAGCAAGACCTTCCTTTCCAGGCTGGAAACTGAGGGGGGCTCTCTCAGGACCCGTCAGCATAGTCCATCCACCTAGGCAGGCTCAGGAATGGAGGGAGGTTGCCCCAGCATGCTTCCCAGGATGGGAGGAATGAGGCCTCTTTCCAGAGGCACAGACTGTGAGTTGAGGTGAGGCTTCTGGAACCTCCCTGGCTGGAATGTGTGCAGGCTCCACAGTGGGAGGCAGCAGAACTTAGAAACCTAGGTTTTGAGGGCGCAGGCCTCAGAGGGCTTTGGGTGAGCAGCTGCTGTGCTCCTTTGTGTTGTCACCCCAAAAAGGTTTTTTAGCTCTGGGAGACTTGGAGGTGGAGGTTCCAGAAGTGAGGTAGTGCATTCTCCTGCACTCTTTCATGGTAATTTCACACGCACTCAGACATACTCTGTTTCCCCCAGAGTGGTGTAGGGGAGCATGGGTCTCCTAGAGGCAACCAAAGACTGAGGGAGCAGCTAGACCTGGGCTGTGTCACCCCAACATCTCTGCCCAGGCTCCCTCTGAATGGCTCTCTCAAGACCCCCGCCCCAATCAAACCAAGGTGAAATTTCCCCCAATATAAATCAAGCTGAAGTGTTTTTTGAGAAAATGATTGTAGCTAAACATGAAACCTGAACCCGAAAACCCAACTGCCCTATCATCCACTTTGTCCCAAAGGCTGGACTAGGTCCAGGTTCAGCAAACACATGTGATTGAGGCATTTCAGATGTCAAATCTCTGGTCAGAGTGCAACTGAAAGCATCTTCCAGTCAAGGCCAAGTTGACCCGCTCCCACCCCCTTCCCGGCCCAGGGGACCCAGATATGAGGCTTGCCTGGCATGCCCGCCCCCATTCCCTGTCTTCTGCAGGCTTCTGGAAGCCAAGGCCTGGCCGAGCCCCACCCCACACAGCTGCAGATATTTATAGCTATGTCCCTTTCCCAGCCCTGTTCAAGCTTCCAAGGGCTCTGCTCTGATTGCTCTTTATCTCCCTTGGCTCCCTGCTGCAAATTCAAATCTGGGGCATCAAGAAGTTCAGGAACGTGTCCTCCATAAAAATTGGAATTGTACCGCTCTAATATCAAAGTCACCTTTTAGAGTTTTCTGGCTGGGGGTGGGGGAAGTTGGGGTAAATGAATTCCTGATACATTTTTCTTTGGCTATTTTTGGCTTGCAGTGCCTGCATCTACCTACAGCCCATCCCCGGGGGCCAATTATAGTCCAGCTCCCTACACCCCCTCACCTGCCCCTGCCTACACCCCCTCTCCTGCCCCCACCTACTCCCCTTCCCTGGCACCAGCCTATACCCCCTCGCCAGCCCCAAGCTATAACCCTGCACCCTCAGCGGCCTACAGTGGGGGCCCTGTGGAGTCTGCCAGCCGCCCCCCATGGGTGACAGATGACAGCTTCTCTCAGAAGTTTGCCCCTGGCAAGAGTACCACCTCCATCAGCAAGCAGACCCTGCCTCGAGGGACCCCTGCCTACACCCCGACGGGGCCCCAGGGGTCTCCCCTGGCCAGGGGCATCGTTCAGCGGGCTGAGCGCGTCCCAGCCAGCAGCAGGACTCCGCTCTGTGGCCACTGCAGCAACATCATCAGGTACGATCCAGCTGTGCCCCTGAGCTTGGGCGCTGGGAGCGCAGGGGTGTGGGGTGCTTGTGCACTGTCTGAACCCTGTGGTAGGGCGGGGGAGGTGAGAGGGAGGGCAGGAGTAGGGAGAAGGCTCCCTGCTGGGCAGCCTCAGGCTCCTCTGGCTTGCCACCTAGTCTGACCCTCTTTGAGCTTTGGCTTCCATACCTGTGTGACACCCACTTCCCCGGGAGTCGGGCGAATTCCATGAAGTAAGTGGGTGAAGCTCCCAGCACGGTGCCTGGTGCCAGGACCTCCCCCTCGGGCTAAGGCCGGGTTCTGGGAATCATAGGTCTTGTTGTCAGGTTTACTGGGCATGGTGCAAGCTGGCTGACAGTGCCAGTTTTGACCCAGCTTTCCTTTAGGGTTCTTTCTGGGTCTTTCCACAGACAGGCCAGTGTTGCTCGGGGCTTTGGTGGGCATCTGCCACCCTAAAAGGAAAACAAGTCATTTCACAGATGTAGGTGACACTTGTTTGGACATAGTATGTTTATAGGATGTGTGTGTTAGGGAGGAGGGCATATATATGTGATAAATACACTTTTACTTAAAGTAACACATGCTCATTAGAGAATAATTAGAGAGTTCCAAAAAGTAAAAATGAAAATGCACCACATTTCCTCATAGTCCCACTGCTCTGACTGCTAATCTGGATCTGGGCTACCCAGGCTGTGCTAGCCCTGTGGCCTTGAACAACTTATTTCACCTCTCTGTGCCTCAGTTTCCTTATCTGAAAGCAGGTACCATAATCCTACTTCTTAGGATTGTTGTAAGCGCTAACCAAGTTAATCCACGCACATTTCTTCTTAAACAGTGCCGGGCAGAGTAAGCACTCAATAAAGGCCAGCCATTGGCATGGTCGTCTTGGCTCTTCTTGTTATGAATACACTTCCCCCGTCCCCTACTTGGAGGTATTTGAGTTGCTTCCCTGTTGTTGCTGCAACAATGAATATCTTTTTGCATAGAGCTTTATCTGAATTTCACATCAGTTCATTAGAACAGTTACAAAAGTCAGGGTTATTGGGTCAAAGTATGAATAGTTTTGGGTGTCCTGAAACATCTGGTCTCGAGCTTTTGGGACTGCCTTTCTCTGCTTCCCCAGGGGCCCCTTTCTGGTAGCCATGGGCCGTTCCTGGCACCCGGAAGAGTTCAACTGTGCCTACTGCAAGACCTCCCTGGCCGACATGTGCTTTGTGGAGGAGCAGAACAACGTGTACTGCGAGCGCTGTTACGAGCAGTTCTTTGCCCCAATCTGTGCCAAGTGCAACACCAAAATCATGGGGGTAAGTGGGCAGCATCCCTCTCCTCTGACTCTTGGCTTTTCCCCAATCTCTCTCCCTCCCCAAGGTTGTGGGGGCCCGTTAGGAAGCCAAGAAGTGGCTGCTAACGGAGAGAGAACAACTTTCTATCCTACAAGGGAGTTGGTTTGCCACCGATGAGCTAGGGAGCGAATGAACATGGAGGGAGAGATGATGACTTGCCTGGGCCACACAGCTCGATGTGTTGGTGGAGCTGCTGCAAAGCAAGTTATCACTTTATAGACTGACCTCGCCACGCACCCACATGTGGCCTTGACCCCTCCATGCTCCTTTGGTAAAGCAGCGGTAATAAGCAAGACCCCCCGCCCCAGCTTTGATGGGAGGGTTCAGAATCACAGCTAATGTCACCACCTCTCCGATGATTTTGACACAGAACCTGGCACCCAGCAGGGGCTACATGAGCGTGAACTCCTCTGCCATCACCGGGCCTTTCCTCAGCACGTCCAAGGCCCACCTCCTGGGCTCTCCTGCCCTGTTCCCTGTGGGGATGCTCCGGCAGTAGCCAGGGCCTGGTGAGGAAGAGGGGGCCTGGCTTCCTCTCTCCCCTGAACCTCTTGGCCTGAGTGGAGGCTCTTTCCCCCCAGGAAGTGATGCATGCCCTGAGACAGACATGGCACACCACCTGCTTCGTCTGCGCAGCTTGCAAAAAGCCCTTTGGGAACAGCCTCTTCCACATGGAAGATGGGGAGCCCTACTGCGAGAAAGGTAGGACCGCTATGCTGTGGGGAGGCCCCACAGTCTGGGAGAAAGGAGCAGGTACAGGAAGCTCCTGCCCGTGTCCATTCACATGGAACCATCAGGAGGCTCCAAATGGCAGAATCATGCTTTCCTGGGGTGGGGGCCGGGTCTATAGCTTTTTTTTTTTTTTTACACATTTGACCTCAGTTCCCTTCCCTGCACCACATATGCGGATCACAGGTTGGCATCTTGTAACCACTTGGGAAACCTTTCAGATGATTTTGATCTGGAATCTGAAAAGGCTTTGGCTTTGGACTTTCTCTTAGGTTCTGTTCCAGGCTCCACCTCGGGCTGGCTTTGTAACCCTGAGTGAGTTATTAAACTTCTCTGAGCCCCACTTCCCTCATCTGTAAAAAAGGGCGTATAAACACCTGCCTCATGAGTTGTGAGGATTAACCAGAGAAAGTGTGTAAAGCACCAAACATGTGAAAGTCCCTTTCCCTGCTCCTCTGATATTCCTTCAGAGTCCTGTAACCACCCCCAGCTGAATTCAGTTTCTCTCTTCCCCAAAATGCTATGTTTTACCTTAAAACTTGGAGTAAATTATAAATTTTGAAGACAGCACTCTATTAGAGAATCAGGTGTCCTGGCTAATTAGCCACTTCCTCACTCATTTATTCATAGACTGCCTCTTTTTTTTTTTTTAAGATTTATTTATTTATTTTAGAGTGAGAGAGAGAGAGCGAGAGCATCCATGAGTGGGGAGAGGGGCAGAGGAAGAGGGGGAGAGAGGGAGAGAAGCAGACTCCCTGGCGGAGCCAGCCAAAATCAAGAGTCAGGGGTGCCTGGGTGGCTCAGATGGTTAAGCATCTGCCTTTGGCTCAGGTCATGGTCCGAGGGTCCTGGGATCGAGCCTCACGTCGGGCTCCCTGCTCAGTGGGGAGGTTGTTTCTCCCTCTCCCACTCCCCCTGCTTGTGCTCTCTCACTTTCTGTCAAATAAAAAAATAAAATCTTTAAAAAAAAAATCAAGTCAGACGCTCAACTGACTGAGCCACCCAGGCACTCCCACAGACTGCCTTTTTCAGAAAAGGATTTGAGGGAGGGTCCAACAAAGTTACCATAGACATGAAGGTTAAGACAACAGAACTAGAAAATCAGTACCAAATAGAAGAGGGAAAAGCAAGCAGGCTGATTATGAAGAATAACAGAGCAACAGTGACTGGGCAGCAAATTTGTGGGCAAAAAGAGAAACACAGTAAGTTAGTTTACTTTAAAATCAGGAAGGAGAAAACATTCCAGTTCCTCCAGGGGAAAAGCAAAGCAAACAAAAACTATTCTCCCCTGACAACAAATTATAAAAGAAAAATTTCTTGGGTTCTTATATACAGGTGAGATGTCTTCCCAGCTCTTATTAATTGAATGACTTAGTTACTCAGTCACTCCGTGCCTCAGTTTCTATATCTTTAAAAGGAAGAAGATAAGAATCTCTTTTCCTTTCTTGTGAGTGTATGGTGATAATTGTTAGATAATTAGAAGATAATTGATAGATGTGTGTTCATGCCAATACAGATTGCTATTGTTGGGGCACCTGGGTGGCTCAGTAAATTAAGCATCCGACTCTTGGTTTCAGCTCAGGTCATGATCTCAGGGTCATGAGATGGAGCCCCGTGTCGGGCTCCACACTCAGTGCAGAGTCTGCTTGAGATTCTCTCTCTCCTTCTCCCTCTGCCCCTCCCCCTGCTCTCTAAATAAATAAATAAATAAAATCTTAAAACACATACAACAAAAACAAATTGCTATTATTAATTGACTAAAAGCATTACAATTTCTATAATTTGTGTCTGAGGCTTGAAAAGTCCTCAGTACCTCCCCCAAATCTGATGGACATTTAGGTTGCTTCCGCTTCTTGGCTATTGTGAATACTGCTGCTATGAACATGTCTAAAAGACCCTGTTTGCAGTTCTTTGGGGGTATATGCCCAGAGGTAGGGTTGCTGGGTCATATGGTATTTCTATTTTTGAGGTTTCCACTATTCCCATGATGGCACTGCACCATTTTACAATCCCACCAGCAGGGCACAGGGTTCTAATTTCACTACATCTTTGCCTACACTTGCTATTTTGCTGGGTTTTTGATAGCAGCCCACCTAATGAGGGTGAAGTGGTATCTCATTGTCGTACCTTGTCATCATTTTTATCAACAACTTGGAAGAAGACACAGAAGGGAGAACGTCAGAATGCTAGGCTCTAGACTCCAAAAGATTTCATCAGCTGCAATCACGAGCTGACACTTTTACATATGATATCTTGCGCATAAGTAAGAGAGCTAGGAGGGCCTGCCCCTGAGCAGTGCCCAGACCTGAAGGGGCATCATGATCACCTGGGAAACTTTAAAGATATAGAAGATCAATTCCCAGATGTACAGATGCAGAATTTTATCACCCTACCCCCACCCATATGATTCTATATTCAATTAAGTTTGAGAATCGAGGTATGATCCAAAGACCAGCAATATCAGAATCACAGAAATGCAGATCTTTGGGCCCCACCCCAGATCTGCTGAATCAGAAACTCTGAGCGGTAGGGCCCAGCAATGTTTAGCGACCCCTTGAGATGATTCTAAAGTTTGAGAACCACTGTTCTCAGAAAGCACTAAGCCCTTTTGCAACAGAGAGCACCTGTGATTTGATGGATGGAAATCCTTTTACAATAGCAATAAAATCCATTAAATACAGGGTACGAATTCAACTTGGGGCATAAGAGAGTTAGTCAAAGAAAATTATAAAGACCTAATAGGAGAAGTAAAGTAAGAAATAAATACATGAGGAACTAGATTATATTCATGGTGGGAAAAGCCCAAGCACAAACTTAATTCCAATTATAGTCTCTCTCTCTCTTTTTTTTTTTTTGGATAAATGATGAAATATGTGAACTTTTAAAAAAAATGTGTTAGGGTCAAGACCGGTGCTACCAAATTTTAAAACAAAGTGGCAGTTCTCCAGATCATACAGAATTAAGTATAAAACAGAAAAACCAATCGGCAGGCCAGACTAGATGTTCCATTGTAAAAGCTTAATTTAAGGCTGCACAGCAAGAGAAGGAATTACTATTTAGTAAGGTTTTCCAAACGATTTCTTTGTTTGTCCGTTCATCCTTCATCCATCAAATGTGTGCCAGTTCCTGTGAAAGACACGGAGCATTAGGAGTGGTCTCTGCCTTCAGAAACCTCAAGCAGACACATCATCCTGTGATACACCAGCACATAAATGGATATTCAAGAGATGATTGAATGAATGAATGAATGGAGGGAGGGAGGGAGGGAGAAGGCAGGGAAGCCCAAGAGAAGCCCTTGGGAAGCCCATCTCATTTCTCTCGGTTGGGGTGGAAGATGAGGACTTTCCAGGAGGAAGGCCTGGGCCCACAGCATTGCAGAGATCCTGGTAGACAAAGTGGGGAGAGTTTTCCAAGCCCAGGACCTGGTTCATACACAGGCATGAGGTAGATGAGACAGTCCAGGGCATCTGGAGACTGGGAGTAATGAGAGAGGAGTCAGAAGTGGGGTACAGGGCTTGCCCTCCCATGGGGTAGCCTATGGCCCTGCTTCTCACCCACACTAGTTCCTACAGAGCACGGAGTGAACTGTAAACCCACTCTAACTTTTTAAAGGAAGCAGAATGATGTTTTTAGTTCTGGTGAGAAATGAAGTATTCCATCAGAGACAGGCCTCATGGACCGTGACGTATAGAACAGCATTTGCATGACAAATCATAATTAAACACAAAAGGGGAAACTGTACGTTGGAAAATAGATGCAAGAGATATAACTTATCAAAGCTCAATGTCAAATAGATAACCAGAGACCACGTGAAGTCATGGAAAGAGGATGAACTTTGGAGTCCATTGAGGCAGGCTCCTTACTGCCGGTGCGATAGAACCTCGGCAGCCAGTTTCCTCATCTTTAAAATGGGAATAATATTTCTTCCTACAGCTGCTGTGAAGATTACCCAGGAAACTTAGAAAATCACTAGTATTGGACTGGTGCCAAGTAGGCACTGGAATCACATTTCCTTCCCTCCTTCCATCCTTTATAAAGACATTCACAATAAGAGCCAAGATTTTTGAGTATCTGTGCCAAGTACATTCATGTACATTATCTTATTGAATCTGTACAACAACCCCACGACTTAGGTACTGTAGTTACTCCCATTCTACAGATAAGAAACCAGAGATGCTGAGAAGTTAGGTGACTTGCCCCAAGCAGGAACAATTCCCGAACAGAGCTAGGACTTGAGCTCAGTGCTGGGTTCTTCAGAACCCAAGTCCATAGCCCCCCATGGCACGCTGCTTCTTAGGATGTGGTCTAAGGTGGAGAATAGGCACACTGTCCACAAGGAGACCTGAGCAGAAACATGGAAGGTGTGAGGAGAAGCCAACTGTGGCAGAGCTGTGGAGAGACAAGCACACTTCCAGGGGTATGAAGGCTTTGTAAGAGGCATCAAACTTCTCTGAAAGAATCTGGAAGAGTTCTACCCTGAGTACGTAGAACTGCTTGTCGCTGGGGCCCAGGGAAGACAGCTCCTGAGTTGGAGTTGGGACCCAGCCCACTCAGCTGTGTGTCTCAGCTGTATGACTCTGGCGAGCCTTGGCTTCCTCATCCACAAAATAAAATAAAACAGAAAAATAATTACAGTTCAAACTCTGAGGGATTTTTTTGAAGATTAAGTTCATTCATTGATTTATTGATTCACCCCATCCGTTATTCACTCCACACATATGTGTTGGGTATTGACTTGTGTGCCAGGCACTGTGTCGAGGGTGGAAAGAAAACAGTACATACTAATCCACAGATCATGACATTGAGATTCTAGTAAAGAATACCATCTGTGCGAGAATGCTTGGTGAACCGTAAAGCATTATACAAACAATACATGGTATTATTATCTCTTCGGTGAGGCAGGGAGGGGGACGAGTCTTAACATAGTAGCTCAAATATTGTTTCTAGTAGTGAAACTTTGTTATCAACACAAATGCCCAATGACAGAAGAATTGCCAAGCAAAGAACATGCTATAGAACTCCTAAAAATGTTAAGGGCTCTCCTTCTTCCAAACTAAACATAGCTATTGGGAAATGTGATTTTTTTTTTCTTTTTTGCGATTGGTCTGTTTGGGCTCTAAAGGGTGACAGAGGCAGAAGAGAAAATCACCCTGTAGAAAGAAAGTTAATGACAGATCTGGAAAATGTTTGTAAATTAAACCAGCACAGAGTGGTAACTAAGCCTGAATCCATACACCACCGGTGCAAATTATTGAAAAGAAAAAAACACAATCATGTAACTGGGCATTTTGTCTGCAAGATGAGAAGTAACCAGTTAGGTCCTACGCACTGCCCCAGCTCAGTGATTTGCGGTGTGGTGTCATCGTTGTGGCATTGTGTCAGTGTGTCCAGGATGCTTCTCCCAGCCTGCCTGGATGCCTGGTCCTCACTCTGCCTTTCATTTCAGACTACGTCAATCTGTTCAGCACCAAGTGTCATGGCTGCGATTTCCCCGTGGAGGCTGGGGACAAGTTTATCGAAGCCCTGGGACACACCTGGCATGACACCTGCTTCATCTGCGCAGTATGTTTTTAGCACAGCCGGGGGTTCTGACTTTCTGAGAAGGGGCAAGAGGGACCTAGTGGGCCAGGTGATCAACCCTCTATATCCCTTTCAACACTGGCCCGCTGATATGCTGATCATTTTTATTTATTTGTTTTTTAAGATTTTATTTATTTATTTGAGGAGGGACACAG